TCTCTCAGAGCAAACGTTATTGAAGCTATCAATGAGCTGCTGATAGAGCTAGGTATGGGCGGGGCTAAAATAGCTCATGAACAGAGATCTCTATGGGATGGGGCTGATGCTTCCTTTTGCTCTTACCTGGAAAGATGACACCGAAGAACTGGGTGGTTTAATCTGAAGTAATGGGAATAGGTGTGCTTTTTTTGGTTCAAAGAAGCATTAGAAACAGGGGTGTCTGCCCATGCTATTGGTTTTTTGGGAAGTCTTAAACTGAGCCCTGTGAAGTAGAGTATCAGCAGTCTGCCAAGGTTGGACATAATCCCAATAAGCATTATTTCACCCTTTTGCCCAAAGTACTGTGATGTGTTTTTCTTATCCTACAACCTTATCGTACAACAGACATGTAGAGCTCCTCCTGAAGCCTAGGTCTCCTTTGTACACGGTTGTAGTGCTGCTGAACTGTAAAACTGGAACATCCATCATGTGGGCATGGTGCTTGTCTGGTGCTGGCACAGCCCACTTCTGTAGTGATGGAGCTTCTGCTCTACCAGAATTTGTAGAGTCACTCTGGTAAAATATGTAACTGAAGCACAGCTGCACAGATGTTGCTTTTGCTGGCTTCTTTTCCACTCATAACTTCATTCTGTTACAGAGGGCACCACCGATAACATTGCCATGCAGGCACTGGAGCACATCCATTCCAACGAGGTGATCATGACCATCGGCTACTCACGCACTGTTGAGGCCTTCCTGAAGGAAGCTGCCCGCAAACGGAAGTTCCAGGTCATTGTGGCAGAGTGTGCACCTTTCTGTCAGGTAAGGCCCAGGCTGTGTTGTCATATTGCACATACACATATTCTTGTATCTGGAGACAAGCTGTCAGCAGAACACCTGCTGAAGTGGAACATTACAGGAATGCTTCTGCAGTTGAAAGATTAAAGACGACTCGTTGCTCTGCTCTCTGTCCTTCAGTCAGAGAGCTGTGTTTGTGGTCTGCTGCTTGATGTTTTCTGCAGTTCAGGCAGGGATTGAGTGCTCTACAACTGCAGTGCAGGAGCTGGGTTTCAGGGACACAATTATATTCTCCCTCTTCTCAGGGTCATGAAATGGCTGTCCGACTATCTAAAGAGAACATCGAAACTACGGTCATGAGTGATGCCGCTATTTTTGCTGTCATGTCTCGAGTCAACAAGGTAAGGAGGGCTTTGCTACTGGTGGGAGTTCGTGGCAGGTTTGCTGCTTGGGCCTTCCAAATCACCTACAGATCCTATCTGTGATTTATGTCTTTCTTCAGCGATACTCAAAATTGTAATAATCCCTGTTTACAGATAGGGAGATGTTGTGCAATCCCTAATAATTGTGATGACTCTATCAGCATAGTGATAGGATTTTCTGCCTTAGTCGCTAATGATCAGAAAAGTTGTGAGAATCCAACCCAGGAGAGCAATCAATCAAATGACCAGCTTACTTTTTAGGCTTGTAGCAGAACAGGGAACACAACCCAGCTTCTGCATGGTAGTCTCTGCAGTAGAGCATATGTTTGTCCTGTAAGTTCTCTGTGCTGGCATCACTGTGCTGGAGTTGTGCTCTTGCTGGGAGAGGAACATATTGGTGCAGAGCCAAAGCCACACAAAACAGATCAGGCATCCAGGTGCCCTGCAACTCCAGCTGCTTGCTGACTGCTCTGACAAACTCCATCTTACTCAGAAGGGTGTCAGCCAGGAAGCTCATCTTCCTCAGTTTGCTGTGATAGATGCTCTCTAATGCTAACGTGTCTTTTAAGGTTATCATTGGTACAAAGACAATCCTGGCCAACGGTGCACTGATTGCTGTGAGTGGGACTCACACTCTGGCACTAGCAGCTAAACACCACTCCACACCACTTATTGTATGTGCCCCCATGTTCAAGCTCTCACCCCAGGTAAGCACAGCACCTCTTCAGTTCTGCACCTTCTTTAAAGAGAGATAAGGGAGTGATATTTGCTTGTGAAAGCTTAGGGTGGACAGCACCACATGGCCCAAGGTAGGATTGGTAGATGAGTCATCTCCTCCATGTAGTGCTGTTATTTCAGATAGGAGATCTTCACCCAGATCTGGCACAGGTCAAGGTCTCAAAGCTCTCCCTGCAATGCTAAATTCTTTGCAAAATCTGCTGAGTAATAGGTGCACAGAGTATAAGGTTGCCACTAGATGAGTGAGCCAATGCTACTAGAGAGTGACATCACCATTCTTTTTCTTCTGTGTATATTTTTAGAAGTGAAAGATCCTTTGTACCTACAGAAGTGGCAGATGGAGATGCCCTCTATTTCCTATGCTCAGTATTTTCAGTGTTGTCAGATTAAATTGCAGACTGAAAAGTCACATCTCTGCTCTGGTTCCCTAGGCATTGCAAAAGGACAGACAGGCCACAGGAGGTTCTAGAAGTTCCTTTCACTGTAGATGCTACTGAAGTACTGGGCATGGGTACTATGTGATTGTTGTAAAGAGCTTTATTGTTTCCTGGCAAATCTTCCACTGCTTCAGTTCCTTCTAGCACCTAGGATGTTTTCACTAGGATAATGAGATGCTCTTTATTTTCTTGACCTTCTTGTACTCCGTCTCATCCAGTTCCCTAATGAAGAAGATTCATTCCACAAGTTTGTGTCACCACAAGAAGTGCTGCCATTCACAGAAGGTACTGGTCAAGCCAGTCCAGGCAATGGTTGTTTTATATTCTATTTTATATTATAAAATATATATTTTTGTTTGTTTGTTTGTTTGTTTGTTTGTTTTAATATTTGGTACAAAATGTTAATGTAACACTGTCTGAGACCCCAAATCATTTCCTATTGTCTTAAGGGGAAAAAAACGTGCTGGGAACCATTCCATTTTATATGTAGCTTTTTTACTATAGAGAATACAGAAAAGTTTTTTTGGAACATTATCCATCTTTTTAGTTTTGCTTCTGGTCTGCATTGTTCAGCATTTTATTGTAGGATTGTGATAATGGTGCCAGACAGGTGGCAATTTCCTGTGGGACACAACAGATGCCCAACAATGAATGCAGCTTGCTCTTCTTCCTAAAACTCATGTAATTTCTTGAAACTTTGTTACTGAGTTTCAACAATCAGATCAGGTATTTCTGCAGTGAGTTTTCCACTCCAGTGTCCTCTTTAGAAAGGTGGCTGCTCACAGTCTCCCCCTTTCAGCTAGGAATGTTACTTTCAATGACACATTTTTGTGTGATAGACTTCTGAAACTATTAATATATTAAGTTTGGCTCAGGTTTGTTTTTGGCCTTATGAGCTTTTGTTTAGGTGGTAACTTTGGCGGCATTGGGATACAAATTCTACTTCCAATCAGCAGGCTTGCTACGAGTTAGTAAATCTGCATCAGAGAGGATTTGGGGCTACTATCAGTAAAAACTACCAAAAGAGCAGAGGATGTTGCTCCAATCCAAGATTATTGTATACTTACAATTCAAAGGCATTGGTGAGGAACTTGGAAAGGATTCAGGATATCCCAGTAAGGACTTCAGGATGTCATGGGCCCAACCAGTTTCTCTAGGAACTCAGGAAGAAGTGCAGAAGGCTAAATATACTTTCTTTGGTTTGCTTATGTCTTAATACTGCTGCTCTTTTCTTTTCAGGAGAGATCCTGGCAAAGACTAATGTTCACTGCCCAGTGTTTGACTACGTCCCTCCAGAGCTCATTACTCTCTTCATTTCTAACATTGGGGGTAATGCACCTTCTTACATCTACCGCCTCATGAGTGAGCTCTACCATCCAGATGACTATGAACTCTAACACCAAGAAGCGTATTACTGTCCAAACTTGTCCAGTCTTTCTCTTTAGAAAGAGACAGCAGCTAATTAAAGCAGATGTTGCAAAGGTGGGTTGCTGTTGGGAACTGGTAGGGAATATGCTCGGTGCAATCTTACCTACCAAAAAGCAGCAGAAGACAGTTCTTGTACTTGTCCTGAACCCTCTGCTTTGTTACGAGCCACCTGAAGATGCTAACCAATTTTGAAACAGCAAAATGTCGTTTTCTGGGGCAGCTGCGCTGTTATTTCAAAGAGTGCTGCAATAAATGCTGTTTACAGTGCTCTCAGTGTTAATTATTTTCCATGCAGAATTAGTTTCCTTAAATAATCAGGGTTTTATGAGTGCAGTGAGCTGCCTGTACTTGTGCTGCAGAAGTAAGGTTAACGCATGCTTTCACCTAAAATGTAAGTGCCAGTGACCTCGTACTTCAAAACTGAACCTTTGGTAGATCTTTTGGACAAGTTTTGTTAAGCTACTGAAATACAAATCAGTTATTTGGAAAATGCTGGAATAGAAATTCCATTCTTGATGAAAGGTAGACTTCAGAAGGCCTGCCAGCAAGTTTGTTCGCCTCTGCATCAGAAGGCAAAACTCAAGTTCTTGCTTCTCTGATTTTAGTCTGAGGGCCTTCCCTCTCCTTTACTACCGGGTGACTGATTATTCTTCTTGGGTGGACATCTTGTCTCATTCTGAAACTTCATGCTTTTTGTGAGGGGCAGCATAGAACGGCTTAGAAATCTCAGGCTCTCGCAGTGTGACCAGATCATTTCGTAGTCCCTTTTATCAATGTATGTTAATACACTACATCACAGCTGAGGCACCAAAGGAAAGAAGCTTCCACTCCTTGCTTTGTTTTACACAGAACAAAGATACCAGTGATTATCATTTACTGTTTTAAAACGATCATGTCCTGTCTAGCTCAGAATGTGATACAAAATAGAACTGGAACATGAGGAAAGAAAACTGTGCCTATTGTAAGAAATGCAATGAGCTGTTTAGTTGTTTCTGTACACTGATAAAGTGGGGCTATGCTAGGGTTTAGAAATCATTCACTCAAGAATGCAAACTGCAGGGAAGTGGGAGAAAAGAGCTGGGTGTGTCACTGATTGCCTAGTTAAAAAGACATAGGCCTACCTAAGCCTATGTCAAACCTGTTTTTTACTAAGAAGCTGGTCAGTCCTCATTCCAACCACTGTCAGAAACCTAAGGAAAGTTTAATTAATTTTATTAATAAATACCTCTTCCATTTCAAACACTCTAAAATACATTAATTAAAAGTCTCTGGCCATGCTTGCAGCAACTGTGACTGGATGCAACTTCTTGACATCAATAGTCAAGCACTGACATGTGACTCAGGTTTACAACACAGTTCCTTAGTGCTGAAGATGCTTCTCCAAGCTCCAACAGTGGGCTTCTGCCACATTCTTCTGGCTGGTCTCTTCTTAGGTCAGTGCTCAGGGCAAAACTTTGGTTACTGCGCTGGCTTGAGAACATTGCTCCACACAAGATGTTATTTAACAACAAGAGAACCTGGATCGTGCCAACACTTATGGAATCTGCAGTTTGCAGCCTTACCTTTTTAGGTTAGGGTCTTTGTTTCCAAACAGTTGCCATGCTCGCACCATCTTCCGCAGTCTCGCCAAGTTAGGTTTAGCCTGGAGGGAGAAAAGTGAAGCAGCGCTAAGTCATAAGTAAACCAACTTCAGTGCCTCCATACTCTTTTATCTAATAGAAACATTCCCATTTTTTCATGTCTAATTCAAAGTCCCACATGATTTCCCACAGAAGCTAATTTAGTAACTTATTATAGTATATTTGCAAAAGGGAAAGAGTAAGGATTTTTTATGGCATCTTCAACTTTGGGGCAGCAGGTGTTTAATCTTTAGCATCTTTGCTCCCGGCAGAATATCCGCATTTCCATGTTTTCAAAGTTTTACACTCATAAACTGAACTGCTTTAAATACATGCTCAACTTTAAACATTAGTTGACTCCATTCAAGTCAGTGCAGTCATTCAAATGGAACATGGTAAAATCATTGCCAAAGTTTTTGCAGAACAGAGGCTTAATTCTCTCAAGTTTTATTTTGCTAATAACAGCTACATAAAAGTTCAGGTAAGATGCAGCAGTGGTGGTTCAATTTCTAACACGCATACAAGAGATGCCTCTGATAATGCAGAGCGTGCTGCTCCCTGCCGGTACCCCACGCAGTACCTGCGTTTCCTGCTGTAGATGGTCAATGTCTGCAAGGGGCATCATGGAAGGTCTTCCATGAGCACACTGGAAGGGCAGCTGGCAAGATGACAAAGCTTCCATGAGCCGACAGCTCTCTTCTGAAGTCAAACTGTCATTAAACTTAATAGCTCCTGGAACAAAATGAAATTCCTGCACATGCTGCCAGAGAGAATTCAAACCACCCAACAGACCTCCCTCCACAACTGCTACTTACAAAGAAAATAAGGCGGCTCCCAAAGACAGACTAACAGCAAAAGCTGGCTTAAGGCTTAGCTCAATTAACCACACTACTGCATAATGATCAGCTGTGTAAAGCCTAAACTGTTCCATCTAATCCAATTCTAATGGATTGCAGGATTATTAGATTCCAGCTTTTCAGATAGTGTTGTAATAGACTTTTTTTAGGGCTGAAGATGCAATCAGCTCACATGCCAAGAGATAGTAGAACCAGAAGATAGCCTTTATCAATTCTATAGAACTGATATGAGTTCTATACACTTGCCACTGACAGGCATGAGCTCCAAAAGCAAACGCCAGCCCTGCCGCTAATTCCTTTCTCACAAGTGGGCTCTTAATGGCATCCAGAGAAAATTAAAGCAGAACATTACAAGAAGTGTCTGTTATCTTTAGCTTCCACAAATTCACAAGGCTATCTGCAATCTCTGTCTTGCCTTTTAGCCACGAAAGCCATTCTTTGGAATGTAGTGACACACCATGAAAATGGGCTGTTATCTCCTCATCCCTATGAAACAGTCTGTAACCCTGCAATTCCTGCAAACACATTCTGAAACCACTACCCCAGGAATTATGTCATAAGGAAATAGCAAGGCTAAAAAATAAATGGAAGAATGAAAGAAATGTACAGTTTCCTTACCGTGACAGGCTTGGGAAGCTAACACCTTCAGAAATGTCAGAGGCATTGTCCCTCGTGCTCCTCCCGTGGTCTGCACTAGCTAAAATTAGTACGAGAACATCATCTTACATTCCATTTAATATGAAGGATGAGGAGAACTGTAACAAGAATGAGCTTCAAATGACCTAAATCTACATCTCCGGTGTTTAACACACTTCTTCCCTCCGGTTCTTTCAATAAGCTTTGCGTTACTGCAGTCAACTTTAGAAGCAGATAGCTACTCACCTCAACTTGTTCCTTAATAAACTCCTGAAAACAAAAAGGTAAGACAGTAAGTTGGTATTTCTCACTTTTACTGCCCATATCCCCCTTCTCCACATCTGTGTATAAGTTCTGGATACACCTCAGGAAAAATGATGCAGTTTCTTGTACACTGACCACAGAAAAAGATTCAGGTGCAAGTCCTGATCTCCCCAAGTCTTTTCAGACTTGAATCTAATTACTTGGTTTCTCTGCATCAGTTTCCTTAAAAGGATGAGCAGAAAACTGATTAAACATCTGATCTGCCTACTACATTTCTTTGCTTTTCCACTATCTCAAGTCTGAAACAGATTTCTGTCATTTCTGTTATAGTTCAGGGATTTCAACTATAGGACTGTTTAGCTACTAAAAGAGATGGCACCTACACTGGCCAAGAGAACTTCTTTGCCTCTCTTGTAAGAAAGATATGCTATACTTTGGGCCTTTAACACAGAAAAAAAGCCAGTATCACAAATTGCTTTGCTCCATATCCACCGCTGACCTCCACAATGCTTTTATTGACAGGTTGTCTTTTCCGTCGTAGTTCATTGGCCTCTCTTTCTGTAAAACACAGTGGCACTTTCTTCACTAGAATCAAGGAGTTGTTGGTCTCAGGAAATGATAATTCAAGGCCCAGATCCTTCAAATTTTTGTAGCAGCACCTGAAGAAAAAATAAAATAACAACCAAAACAAGTAAGACAGAAGCAGCTACTTCTTCACAGCTTAAATGGATATTTGTGTAGTCTCTGTGTTTCTTCCTAAAAGTTTCTGATCTTGAAAATCATACTTCAGATTCCAGTTAATTTTGCCCTTTTACTCTGCATTCTACTCCAATTTTTCACTCCAATCAACTATGCATATTGTATGTTCCTCAGCCACAAGATCTAGGTACAATTTTTCTGTAATTCACAGAGAGCTTTACATTTAAATGTATAAATTTTTGTTTTCTAAAGATGCACAAGATGTCTGATTCAAGGAAAAAATATCACATAAATAGCAACACTACACATCCTCCAAACATTAAAGTTATGCACTACAAAGACTGCTTTAAGTCTAGCCTAAAAAACAGTGATTTCAATTGACACATAACAGCAAATACTTATGACAGAAAAATATTTTAAGAGATTTATGCTGGTCTAAAGAACTCATGTCCTGTTAAATAAGGCAAAGAGAGCCAAGGAAAGAACAGCCTTTAATTAATCTGACACGTCTCCCTATGGATGGAAAAATACACAAAAAAGAGGATAACTTGTCATCAAAAAGAGAAGAAACTGTCAGCAATCATTATCAAATAGTCTGATGTTTGTGTACACTTTGGTGATTTCTACATTAAACAGCAAAAATTCAAAAATCCCCTCTATGTTTCACTGTCATGGCAGTTCAATAAGCAAGCAGAGCAAGCAGTTTGTGCTGTCTATCAGCTGTAGCCAAAACCAACAGACAAAATACGAAGTGTGGATGTAACAGACAGAAGACAGGGGAACAATTGCATAGCAGCAGAAATCAGTGGGATACTGACATTTGGTGTATTGTATTCAGTGTTGGCCATCAAAAGTAGATACAAAGATATTCAAAGATTAGTGTAAAAATAATTCAGAGTTGACCTAGAGGCACTAAAAATATTGTGATATTGGCAAGAATATCATTAAAGGATAGAAACAAAGGCATCCAAACATTGTTGAATTATGAGCAGCCACGGTTATATTCTCACATTTTTCATACAGCAGGTGGTACATAATGATCCTTTACACTTTCCTCTACAATTTCTGGTATTTGCCATTGTTACACAAAAGAGTTACCAAACATATACCAGTGATACTGTTATAATTGGAATACACCCAAAAAGGACATTCCACCAAACGAGTGTATCCCTAAAATAGGCAGCAATTTTAATAAAGAATGATTTAAAAGCTACTGAGTTTGCCAAAGGCATCACAAAAAAAAGGAGAGTTTGAGAATAACAATGAAGGAGACCTGTGGAAGTTAGCAGAGAACTTCAGGGAGATTCAGGCTGGATGTTAGGAAATACTACTTCTTTGAAAGAGTGGTCAGGCACTGGAATGGGCTGCCCAGGGAGGTGGTGGAGTCACTGACCCTGGAGGCGTTCAAGGAATGTTTGGATTTTGTGTTGAGGGACATGGTTTAGTGAGAACTATTGGTGATTAGTGGATGGTTGGACTGGGTGATCTTGTAGGTCTTTTCCGACCTTGGTGTTTCTGTGATTCTGTGATTCTGCATCTAGTTCTAAACTGTTGCAATACAAAAGTTAAATTTCCTAATGGTAACTAGTACACCATTCTGAAACATTTGGGAAACAGTGCTCATTAGTTAGTCTTGGCAGACACCTAGAATTAAGGAATGCATTTTTGAAGGATTCACAGTACAAGCTTTCCATAGCCCATCCCTCTCCTCTCCAACAGTCTATTAAATCAGTTCCTGTATCTATACTATGGGCACTGCACTCCGAGTCCTGGTTTCCAGACAGCAGGATCTGCTGGAGACTTCTGGGACACTCCTCTGGCTCATGCATCACAGTTTGGTTTGCCAGGGGAACCACAGAATTTTGCAGTGGCACAGGGATGGCACACCATGGGGCTTTGTCTTGAGATGCAATGATGTGCCCAAGAAGCACACCTATTTCCCACAGTATAGATACAGCCAACTGGTTTCTACTCAGGAAACAATTAACAGATGGGGTAACCTAGCAATATATTGAAATCTTCCCCCAAAGTTTAGCACTACCGGCCATTACCAACCATAGAATTCTTCTTTGTTCTTCTGTAACTTCGATCTCTAAAGGGGGAGAGACAGAGGAAGACAGAAATTTCTTTTTGCCGCATGCGGTAGCTTCCTTCTCATAGGAATCTGTGAATGAAACATTTAGAAATATGCCTCTTTGAATACTTATGCAGGCATTGCCCTTAATGACCCTATGGTTTGGCACATAATCTCTGTTTGGATTAAAAGTGACCACAAAATGCCTTCTCCTGAAACTTGTGGAGGACTGGGAATGTCACAAACTAGACATCTAGTCCCAGGGGAGAAGTTGGTTAATGCCACTTTGTTTTTTTCCCACCGGTTCCAAAAAAGAGTCACCCTAAATAGCAAGAAAAACCTACTGATATATTTAGTCCAACTCACACACAGCGATTTTTCCACAGAAAAATCTCTCATAAATGGCTAAATCAAAATACTACTCATTAAGCATCTCTCCCTTCAGTCTTCAACTTTATTCAGTACCTCACCGAAAGGAGCAGATTTCCTGGAAACCTCTCTGCAGGAACTGCACAGTATTTCTCAATGAAAGAGAAAGTCAGTGACTTTTAAGCACTTGATGGATAGTTGTGCTTTTTAGCACTGAAACCAATGGCTAATGGGCTTACAGAAAAGACCATTATCCCTTTGCAAACAGTTTCAGAATGTAAAAATTTTAGGCTTCAAGTGGGGCATTCAGCTAGAAAGGAGCCAAACAAACTATGCTCTTTAGTCTGCACCCAATGTCTTATTCTTCACAGCATAATCACATACTCTTACTGATGTTTTTTCTATTTCCTGTTCATTGTTTTTCCTATCTGTCTTCCTACTCTTTCATTACATCAGGCCTATTTTAATTTGATAGGTCTGTGTGGGTAGGGTGCATATTTTCTATTTCTGGAAACACTGTAACCATTTTCAGCTACCAATACTATGACTGCTACAAATATTGAGTGGCTGCACTCTGCTAAAGATCAAGGTCAAAATGACAAATCGGTGTTCTACTGGTTCCATAGAGCCCAGATTTATTCTCACGACAACTTAGTTAGCGAGCTTTCCCCTTAAGACAGCTCTTGTTTGCACATTCCTGTGCACTATCTTTCCTGAAACAATCTGCATTCTCACCTGCAATAAGCTGCTCCAGGCGGATCCGTTCATGAGCTGCATGTTGGTCCACCAAAACCAACAGGTTTCCACCTAAAAAATGTACCGTAAGAGATTAAAACTAGGTAACTTTGTACCCAACAAGCACACGGGTTGGAAAGAAGAAAATGACCGCTCCCTAGAGGCCACATTTACAAGATAAACACCAGTAGGTTCTACATGTGTGAAGCGAGGGGAAGACCAGTGGCAGAACAAAGTCACTACAGAACTGAAATGGAATGATCCGAATGAGAAATTTAAATTAAGGGCAATTAGAAAATCTTGTCTATAGGAGTTCAACTCCTATATATAGTCATAGTCATTTAAGTTATAGTCAATTAACTTCAGAACAAAAGCTGAGGTCATCAACAATGGCTCTGTTCAATACTGTCTTTAAAATGCTACAAAAATTACTGATTTTGAAAGCCTTTTCTACACAGCTTCAGTAAGCTGCAGCAACAGATATATCCAGACACTGTGAACAGTCTGAAAGATGTTAGTAATTTGAGTATAATCTATTTTTATAATACTAATCTGAAGGTAATCGGAACATTCAGTGATGTCCAAAGTAAAGAGAAAGAAGATCCAGGAAATTTCATATGAAGACTAACATTTTCCTCTACTTGCAGTATCATCTCAAAGCAAGAAACAATACAAGCAGGTCTGTGTTCTCTCTGCAGTTTAAGTGCACTTGAGAGCTACCTTAGTACCTATAGTAGCTCTTACCTTCCTTTTTATCCATTTCATTCCTGGTGTTGATTACACAAGCAATGAATTTATTGTCCACTTGCTGAAGAACCTGAAAGATACTCAGAACAATCACCACCCAGTTGTAACAGAAAGAGGTATTAGAAGGGGGACTAGAAATACATCTTTTCTCATCTCAAAGGCTGAAAGAATTTGGACTAGAAAAACCAACACGGTGGAATTATATAATTATTCCTTATAATGCAATGAGGGGCTAAATATGGAAAAGGCAGCAATTCTTCTAGCAAGGCTATAAGACAACACTAAAAGAAGGTCAAACAACCATAATTTGTCATGAAACAGTTCAGACTGGAATAAATAAGAAAGTTGCACAATATCCAATAAAATAATTCTGAATCTGTCTTTTGAAAGAGTTACAAGCACAAGAGCTTGTAATTAAGGAGGAAATTTACAGAATGGTGGTGTAGAAGCTCCTGGAGCTGGGAATCAAAGCTGTTCACAGCCCGCAGGATATAAACAACCTTTTATAATTTGAGCTGTGTTTAAGGGTTTGTGCTAATCACTTGTAGTAACCAGGAAGCAACTTCTTCACTCTTTTTGTTATGCCTAACTTGCTTTTCAGAGTTGATCCTAACTTCCTCCCAACCAGCGTACATCAACCAGATCTACAGATGGAATACTGAGCAGCCATGCATCAAGCTTTCAGGATCTAATTTTTATACTTAAATTAACAGATGCAAAATAAGGAAGGAGTCTCCCTGAGTCAGAGGTACAGAGCCCGCTGTGAACACTGTCTTACAACACATGCATTGTCCACCTCTTAGGTAAAAATGAATAGATGATCCTATTTCTTTGAAGGCATACGAGACATTAATCATTTTTTCTGTTTTTTTCCTTCTGTTTCACAGCTTTCTTCTCCTGCCTTTTTGAAACATAATTTGTTTCCTGTAATAACTTTATTTCTCTTGTTATTCCTGCACATGCAACATAAGGAAGGGAGAATCATTTCCATCGTTCTTCACCCTGACCTTAATATCACCAGGTCCCACCCAGTCAGAACCTTCAATCTCAAAGTCAGCAACCTGATCACATGAGAATAATGCCAGTTTGCAACCTGTTAGTCATTAATATGTAAGAGAGGGAGAGAATTCACCTGAAGATTTCTATAAATGCCAAGAATGTAAGCTGACGCCATACATTTACATGAGCTTTTAAGTTAACTATTAAAATATACAATGAAAAAGCATTAAAATAGTTAGACTTCATGTTACAATGTTATTTTTAAGAATCACTTTTCAGAGCAGATATAAATCTTAAAAGGAAATTTCAAGTCTTTCCAGGAAATCTAGGATTTGCTTTTGAAATCGCTCTGCTTAAGAATTAAATTTCTAAAGTCAATAAACATAGAACCATGGGACACAGATTTCAGGAGACAATCAACTAGCAAATATTTACAAGAAATATAAAAAGCCAGCTGTTGAAATATCATTTAGTTAGCAGTGTTTCAAAGCAGCAACAAGGCTGCCTCTTGATTTATCCACGCAGCCAGTGAATTTTAGTCATTTTGCAGAGAGATGATTATCCAGATATGAAGATCTGGCTTGACATGTGTGTCTGATGATATCATACACCAAGATTTCTGACTGTGTTTGTGAAAACTAAGGATATGATCTATTTCCCTAGATACCTCACTCCTACGAGGCAGAGACAACAGAAAATTCCAATGGCAGAGTGGGAATTATAGCATGAAAACTAGCAATAGTTCATGTTGTACCTGCATTGAATGAATCATGTCTTTGGTAAAACGATAAGGATACAAAATATTATGGATTTTCACAGCAAGATTCTCAGCCTGACCGCTGGTCACATCAACAGCTATCTGTAAAAATAGAAGTGAATTACATGAATAGTTTATAGGCTCAAGCCACCTATGATGAACGTGGGGGAAAAAAAAAGGTCAGATTTGGGAAAAAAAACGTTCTGGAAACGGCTCTTCATATTGTGACAACCAAGCTTTCCACTCAATCACAGCACTAGTTAAAGATACAATCCAGCAATCCCTCTGTTTCCATCCCCACTTACTTTCCCACCTGGGATAACCCAGTAACTTCAGTGCATTCAGCTAATTGTGAATACCTATCAGAAAACCTGATGCTGACTAGCAGCCTCGGTAAGCTCCCAGCAGAGTGAGTCTCAAAAAATGTATCACCCTACAATGACTCAGAGTCTGTCACTGTAACAGATGAACAGAACTGTTCCTTTTCAAAAATTCACCAGCAGGTGGTTTGTGACTCCATCTCCATTGTGTGCAGGTGGAAATGGTTACATACGTAAGTTTACACACTTACAACATGATGATTAAAGATAATGCTGCCTCATGACAACAAAGGAAGTCTTTCTAACAGTTCCAACATTGTTTTCTCTCACATGCCATAGTCCTGCTAGGCTACAAAAACAACTACAGTAAACTAAACTTTTAAGACCCATTGCACCCAGAGGAGAAAGATGAGTTGTCCACAAAGAGGACAGACAATATATTACTATTTTGCCATCTGATAACCTTTTAATTTTAAGATGAACGTTTCTGTAAAGAAGATAGCTTACAAGAATGTTTTGCTTTTGAAATGATGGAAGATAAAAGATTAGCCCAATATCTGCTTCTCCAACTTTGAATACATGCACAAAAATGACTTGTATATAAACCACCCGTAAAACATAATTGCAAGGTCTGCAGTCTAAAATATCACTGAATAAATTCTAAAGAACAGTCACAATACTTGCAGTTTTGGTCCCCACATCAGATAAAGTAACTCCTGTGTTGGTATGAGATGCAAGATAATGCTTACCTCTGGGCAGCGAACAAAAACAGGGTTATCCCATTCTGAAAGCATGGACTGCAGAGACTCGCCTTCACCACCTGGGAAGGGACACACAGATAACACAGGCACTACCATAAGCTGTCAGCAGAAGGTATGCTGGGTACCTCTCACTCACACAGGTGTAATTACATTTTTTTCCTTCAGTAATATGGGAGAGTGTACAGGTAAATAATGGAGATGAGAGTGGGCTTCCCTATTGTTTGCTTTATCTAGAAGAGACCCTGTGCAGCTTCCTGAGCATGCTGCAGCACAATTCCACAGGCCTTGAAAATGAGGAGGGAAAAAAAAAAAACAAAAGAAAACAAATGAAGGACCTATTTAGCTACCCACTGCTTCTGGACAAAGCTACATACCTAAAAAGTGATTTCATCCTTTCTATCACAAAAAGAATGTGTGGATTGAAGCTATTTTTCACATTCCAAGGTTGGAATGAGTACAAAGAACGGACTAGGTAATTATTCCTTAAGCTACTGGCATCATTCAACAAAGACCTGGGTATTTAATCTGTAAATAAGTACCCCCTAACCTGCCTTCAACCCTCAAAGAGTTTTTTTTTCCAGTTCTAGATCTGAGATGACTCACACAGTCCCATTGTTAGCAGACCTTGAGTAATTCTGGGTTCCTGTTGGAACATCTGGGAGAATTCTTTCATTTGTTTTTACAGCAGTACACCGTGTCCTGGAAAGCTGGCCCTACCTCTCTGATCCTGACTTGCTAGAGTCTTCTCTTTTCGAGGTCTAGGAAGGAAGGGTAGCACAATCTCACTTCTAAAGGGATGGCACCTGCACTGAAACCCTAAGAACAACATAAATTTACTTCTGCAGATTCATCAGTGTGCAAAATTATAAAAGACTTTACAATTACATTTTCATAAGTGAATGTATGCTTAGCCCTGGGTAAATTGGACTCTTATGCTGATTTGGCAATCTAGCATTAAGAAATAGCAGCACATCCATAAAAATTTTCAGATACACTTGTAGCTGGAAATGTGGCCTCTGCAAGACTGTCATTCTTAAAAACTGGCTACAGCCTTAATCACATAAGGATTACTTCAAGAATTAATGCAATCAGAAGTGTTACCCTAAGAGGAAAGAGAGGTCATACAGACAATCAAAACACTCTGGATTTCCCTCTTTTCAGGTGTGGCAGAGCTGTCAATCTGTTACCACCACCATCAATAGTTATCAGCAGTCATCAGCACCTTGTAAGACTGAAAACTACAAGCCAGTAAGACCATGTGAGATATCAAGGTTAGCCTAACAATGTTCCTACCCGCCCAGGAATGATTTAATGATATTACAAACCTGCACTGTTATCAAGATTATTAAGTGGCTCAGATTTCCAGCACAGTGGTAAACATTTCACCCTTCCTTTGGTACAATTCAGATTTCTATTCTTTGTGAAATAATAATGAATTAATAAAGTTCCTTTCTACTAAGAAATTAAGGGTGTGCATTCAGGAAACATGGCAGAGTGATAAAGCCAAAAGAAAAAAAACACAAAAAAATCCACCGGCTGTGCGCTGATAAGCTCAGTAGGGAAAGGTTCTATGAGGTCCTGTGGCCAGTCCACAGACTCCTGAGTGTTGGCTTTATCCCAGAAAAGCCTGGTGATGGTTCTGCCCTGGGGGATAAGAATCCTCTCAAGAATCCAAACTGGCAGTTCAGCACAGGAAGGTAACTCAGCATCCAACTGTCACAAAACTCAGCCAGACTCTCCTACCTCACACTGGACAAGATGCCCTCATGCAATTCCTGGTGAACCGGGACAAAATTAAGAATTCCATCTCATTTGGACTTTGATAGAACTTACAGTTATTGCCTCAAGGAGATATTATCTCTCAAGTTCACAGAACCATCTATCATTTATGTAAACAGGAGTCCAATGTTTTATACGTGTCACAAACAAAGAAGAGCATTTCCCTCCTTGTTGTAGGGGAAAGCCTTGCTCGGGACATACATTGCTCATGAAGTTAGGATTTTCTTGTCTGATGGCCACTGAGAATTCAGAGCTCATAGAGGTATTATTAAAACTATTATTCTGACAGGTAACACCAGAATAGGTGCCAAGAATAACTTCTCTACCTTATACACGCAAACCATTTGCAATTAGAACACTTGAATATTGAATTTCACTTGCCTCAATTACATTATTATCATATTGATGCAGAATATTGGGTTGTTCAGAAAGCCACTTGATTATGAAAAAAAAAAAAAGTCATTAATTTTCCTGTAATGGTCAGCTTAATCAGTTCAAAGATGCCTAAGTGTAACCTACAAAATCTTACATTTCTCTTGAGCACACGGAGTACATGGCCTATGACTGGACAAGATGGCAGGCAGCTACTGCTGAGATGGAGATGGAGGATAATCATTAAGGTCAGAAAAGACCTCTAAGATAATCTAATCCAACCACCCACCTACCATCAGTGTTGCCCACTAAACCATGTTCCTCAGTACCACATCTACACATTCCTTGAACACCTCCAGGTATGGTGACTTCACCACTTCCCTGACCAGCCCATTCCAGAGCCCCTGACCACTCTTTCGGAGAAGTTTTTTCTAATATCCAGCCTGAGCCTCCCCTGGTGCATCTCGAGGCCATTCCCTCTCACCCCATTGCTGTTACCTCACCACAATCTCTTTTCAGAGAACTGTAGAAAGTGATAAGGTCCCCTCTGAGCCTCCTCTTCTCCAGACTAAACAATCCCAACTCCCTCAGCTGCTCCTCATAAGGCCAGTGCTCCGGTCCCCTCATCGACTTTATTGCCCTTCTCTGAATGTGTTCCAGTGCCTCAGTGTCTTGTAGCAAGGGGCCCAAAACTGAATATAGTACTCAAGTTGCAGCCTCACCAGAGCACAGGAGGACAATCACCTCTCTGTTCTTGCTGCCTATTTCTAATTCAAGCCAGGATGCCGCTGGCCTTCTTGGCCACCTGGGCACACTGCTGGCTCATGTTCAGCCAATTGTCAACCAACACCCTCAGGTCCTTTTCCTCTGCAAAGGAAATGGATCCCCTGCAAGAGGACATGGATTATTCCTATGTCTTTCTGTCTGCTACCAACCAGTGCAATTTCCCTAACCTTCAATACGCTATTCTTAATAAATCAGTGGCTTTGAAATTCAAAGTCAACTACAAAACACTATTTTTCAATATAGTCACCTCCATTAGCTATGCATTTTTGCCAGCAGTGAACAAGAGCCTGCATGCCATACTTGTAAAAAAATCTGCACCAGTGGAGGTGACACACTCTTGCTGTTACCACTGCTGAAAGGCACCACCCACCGTTTCACTGCGCTCACAGCCACTGTTGGGTCTCTACAAACGTTCAGCGAGAGTCAGTGAATTTCAGTGGGTGCAAGTTTTTCCACATGGAGGAAGTCAGTTCTTCCCCTCTGCTTCACATGCACTCCCATATCAGAAACCATTTTATCAGACTGCCCCTTTGCTGCCATCTCTCACACAGCAACAACATGCAATGGAATATTGGTGAGACGTTCAACCTCTTCTGCTGTACCATCAACATCTGACTCTCATGTTAGTTATGGGCCAGCATAATAAAACAGAAGGAATTCGTTTCAGAGCAGCCTTTGTATACGACAGCAATTATTTACGACAGTGATTACAGTACATGTAATGTTGCTTAGTGAAACCTAAGTGCTGATATTTCTTTTCACTATTTTATTAAAAACCATCTTTTAACATCTTAATGTTAACATGTTTATCTCCACAGTCACCAACACATTCTGTTTTCCAAACAGCTGCTATGAGTAAGGCCATGGATTTTTCAGTATGAGTGTCAGGTGCAGCTACCAAAATATTCTATGCACCTAGCAGAACAAATACTGTTTTCCTCATCCCATTTTTATGACAACAAATCATCTTACCATTCTCTGCGACAACATTCACGGCCATTGTTGTTAAATCTTTAATGCAGGCAGCTGGAAACTCTTCAGGAGGAGTGTTGTAGGTGCTCAGTCCTGTTGCTTTATTGATGTAGATTGTCTTACCCAATAAAGCATCAAAATCTTGCAGCCAGTCTGAATCACGCAAATCATCTCTGGGATTACCTGTTGTTGCATTATCCCCAGAGAATGCCAAGTTACTTGGGAAAGTCATGCAATGAACCTCAGGATCTTTCACATTTTGTTTTGATGATTCATCTAACATCCTTTCATCTTCACAGATGATGTCAATGCCATCTTTTTCTGCTGGAAACGGTAAAACGCTGCTTGCAGAGATTGTGTACTCTCCTTCAGTACTGCTGAGTGGTGACAGGCTAACAGTACATTTCCTGGACTCTGCTCTCAAATCATCTGATTGTGGGCAAGCATCCCTCTTAGAAATGCTGCAACCTTCCCTCATTTCTTCCACTGAAGATTTATACCTTTGACAAGGGTTATACAAAAAATCATTACTTGAAGATTCAAGATCAAAAGAGTGGTTATCTTTTCTACTTGAATCTGTTTGGAGTTGTTCACCCAGCTGTTTTACTGCTCGGTGATCACTTTTCATTTGGCACAGTTTGGATGACAGGGATCCTGGAGATCTTTGACTACTCATGGTTTTTTTACTAACCTCTGAGTAATCGGACAGCGTCAAAGGGCTGCGACAAAGGGCTCGTCTGTCCAGTGAAGTTTCTCCACTGCAGAGTAAAACTTCATCCAAAGATCTCAAAACATGGCTGTTTTTATTAGAATCCAAAGTTGGAGTCTCACAGATGCTCAAGCGTCCGTGACTGTTATTCTGACTCCTTGAAAAGTCACAATTAGCTTGTACATTGGAAACTGGGAGACAAAATTCACTCTGCTCTGGTGATGGTGTTGGTAGCGTACACTTAACACGCCCATAATATCTCCTGAACTTTTCTAATGAACCCAGCTGCGTAGACAGGCTCAGCTTCTTGCAAGGCTGTGATCTTGGCTCAGCTATTTGCCTTCTAGGGCTTTTTACAGCTTTACTGTGAGGAATACCTGAAGATGTTGCCAGCGGCAAGTCTGACACATTTGATGTTTCATAATGTCTTTTACTGGTGGCAATGGACACGTCTCTCCCATCACGTGCTTGACTAGGCAAACTCCTATTCTCTGACCTCTCATTTCCATCAGCCGTGCCAACTTCTCTGCTGCAGAGAGGTATATATTCTTTATTCACGTTACTGGAAATATACTTAGCATTTAAAGACTGAATCGGCAAACTCATTTTGTGCATGGAAGTGTGCTTGGCACTCACAGGACAAGCCCTACTGTGCATGTTTAATGCAAGATTTGTTTCTGTTTGTTTACGTTCACGGGGTGGCTCATTTTGCATGATACACGTTTTGAGGCCTAAGTGAGAACGCACTTTTTCTGGTACTGAACTAACAGTCCCTCTTCCAGCATTATCTATTACTTCAGTTGCTTCCCTATCTCCTCTTACATGAGGTAGTCTTATCAATGAACTTCCATAGACAGTTTCAGATTCCCCTGCTGTTTCAGTAGGGTCTTCTCTCTCAGATGGCCACCGAGTAGAAGTATTATTTGAGATACAAACCGTATTGCTTTTCCGCACAACTTTGTCTTGCTGGCTTCCTACGCCTTTTGCACAATTCTCAGCACAACGCCGCAAGTCATCACAACTGCCTTTTTTCATTATTTCTGATCTGGCTCCTTCAGTCAGAGAGGAATGGAGATTTTCTGAAGATTTCAGATGAGTATCACACCGTTTTTGGGAACTCATTGTGTCTTTTGGCTCCTGTTCCAACATATCAGATATAATGAAATTAGAAGTGGTGTCATCTTTCTTGGACAGTGGAATCTCTGCTTTTTTGTTTCTACATTGACCAGAGAGTTCAGCAATCTTCTGATTTGAGGAAATTTCAGTTTCCTGTGTATTTGACTCTGTAGGATTTGAAGATTTTTTTCCCACTATGGATTTTCTTTTGACATCTTTTGATTGCAATTTACACACTTCATAGGAATCTATAATTTCATCACATGCTTTCTGAAAGTTTTCTTGGATGCTCTTATCCTCAGGGAGTGTGGATTTCGTAACTGGAGCATTACACAAACAAAAATTATTATCCTCATTAAACTCTTTGATGTCCTCACAACAAGGTTCAACAAATAAATGTTCTCGTTTCAAAAACATTTTCACTCCTTCCTCTACACAAGCTAGAAGAACATCCCAGTTCTGGAACTCAATCAGAGTTTTTGCAGGTTCCAGAGACACATCGTAGTCACTGTACGCACAGGTCACATTGAGAACAAAGATCCCGTACAACTCTGGGCCACAACGAAGGCGACCAGGACTTGAGGAACCCTGTCTGCTCACAGGGACACTTTTTGCCTTACAAATGACACTTTCTTTTCTTAATAAAAAGTCAATCAGTTTATGCAGTCTTGTCTTTAAAACAAGCCTTCTATTGACATACAAGAATTGCATATTCTTATTGTAATGTCCTTCAGTACTGATGTAACCACTTATCTCAAATCCCCCAGACTTATGCTTTATTTCTCTTAACTTCTGAGATTTGCCCAGCCCATATATTTGACAAAAACGAGAGTAAATGTCTCTTGTCTTAGGGAGCTGAAGCACCATAGAACAAGAAATATCATTCCTTAAAGAAAGTGAAACAGAGGGATGCATCAATGATATAGCCTCTACTTTCTGCCTCACCCTCTCAAATTCCAGCACAGGATCCATGCACCTCCTCCTCACTGGTAACTGATGGAACAGATTACACACGGTCACTGTCGTTCCGCCACTTGGTCTGCTCAATTCAGCTTCACAGACTTCCAGTGCATGCCCATTGTGAAACAGTTTCACAAAAGTTTTTGCGGTCTTGCTGCTCTTAGATGAAACTTCCACAACACTGGCCATGTTTGCTATGCTTGCCAGAGCCTCCCCTCTGAAGCCGTAGAACGTCAGCTTCTCTAAGTCTGCCACTGAGCTGCACTTACTAGTGAAGTACCGCTTTCCCATTTTACTTAAGTCATCTCTCCCCATGCCGGAGCCATTATCCACCACCTGGATCTTAAAAGCTTCCAAATCCACCCTAACAGCTACACACGTTGCTTTGGCATCGATGCTGTTGAAGACAAGCTCCTCAACACACTGCCCCAGCGAGGTGACCGCCACTCCAGAGCGCAGCCTGGCTTGCACGTCCTCTGCCAAGTGCTTGATCATGGCAAAAGCAGGCAGGAGAGAAACTCGGCAAACTGCAGGGAGATCACGGCTCTGTGTTCTTGATAACAGCCGCACAGGTGGGGAGGGGGAAAAAAAAAGGAAAAAAAAAAAAGGAAGAGTGAAGAAATTATCGAGGGCTTGATTTTTTTTCTCTAGTATTTAAAGGCCCAGCCTCTGAGTGAACATCAGCCGGTGCCTCCAAAGCACACGGCCAGAAGCCGGTCCGTGCACCCAACAGCTTCCCAAACGCAGCGTAAGGAAAATCTGACAGCAGTGAGGCCAAACTCACACGGCCTGCAAGCACAGGGCCTCTGCTCCCGTTAGCACAGCAAACAGGCAATAAGCATCACCAAAGGGCTGGGCTGCGAGCTGCCGTCCCCTCACTTTTACCTTTCTCCTCCCGTTACAGTAGCGAAGCAAGAAGGCGAGCTGGGGGAGCTGCGCACTGGAGGAAAGCGCGCTCGCCTCGGCAACCAGCGGGCCCTGAGGGCGCGAGCTCCCCGCCCCGCCGCCGGCACTGCCCCTCCCGGCTCGCGGGGTTGCGGGCGGGGCGGGGCAGCCCCTCAACGGCCGCGGCTCGAGCCCAACCGTCGCTGGGCCCGGCACGCGGCGCCCGCTGCGGAGCAGCGCAGAGGCAGCCGGGCGGGGAGCACAAGGCGCATGCGCGCAACGCCCCGGAGGCTGGGCTGCGGCTCGCGACACGGAACCGCGGCTCCGGGCGGGCGGTGCACGATGGGAGCTGTAGTTTCCTACCGCCTCAGTGAGGACAGGGAAGGAGCAGGGAGACCGGCCCCGACAGGGTGCCACCGCGTCCAGACAGCCACAGTCAACTCAAGCAAGCTCCAAGTACTTTATTCTAACAAAAATAAACTTCTGTGCGAGTAAAGAACACAATAAATTGCTTCGGAGAGATTAAGGTCACAACAATCTCACTTTCAGCAGTATTTACAGCTGGTGCCAATTCTGCAGTTTCCTCCACACGAGCGCAGCGTTACACCAATGCCATACGGTACTCAGCACTGCCGCTCACAACTCAGGCCTTCGGGGACCGGAGGCTGTGCCCCTGGGCAGCCCCATCAGTACAGACAGCACCGAGCCACGCTCCACCTATCAAAGTGACACAAGCATTTTAGTGCTACACAACAGTACAACAAACCAATAAGTTAGAAATGTAAGGAAATACAGTTCTCTAGAGCCGGATGTCAGCTGTCTGAACAGCTGGGGGCTGGGGATGGACGCTCGGCAGGGGCAGCCTGTGCCCCAGGTTGGCTGCTTTCTGGACGAGGTCACTTGCGGATCTGGAAGTCCTTGTGTTCCAGCGCCGCAATCTCCTTCTCGTTGGTGAACTCGGCCCGGCTGATGCGGGACTGGGGGCTCCCGATCTTCCGCAGCCACTCCTGCAGCTCCCGCACCCTGGCGGCCGGACCCTGGGCCTGTCCCTGCACGGTGCCATAGCTCGTGTTCTGCACCCAGCCAACCAGCCCCAGCCGCTTGGCCTCGCTCTGAGGAGATAACGCAGACGTGAGATGGCTCTGGGCTGCTGGAGCTACCAACAGCGGGCAGCGCGATGCTTACAAACCCCACACCGCATCAGCTGGCCCGCCCGGGCCCAGGAATCCCTAGGTCCCCGTCCCACCACCCCGCAGCGCACCTGGGTGTACTTGCGAAAGAAGACGCCCTGCACTCTGCCCGACACCTCGTAATCCACGGACACCAAGCCCTCGCTCCCAGCCATAGCCACAGCAACCCCCACCAGCCGCAGCCGCCAACCTCACGGCGCACGCGCAGCGTGGCCTTCGCTACCACCCAGGGACCAACGAGAGCCAAGCTCCGCAGGAAAGGAGGGACTTTCCTAACCGCTTCATGAATAATTCATGAGGCCTCCCTCCCGCTCCCCTTCAGCCGGCGGTTTTCACTCGGCCATAGAGACAAAGTCTTCCAAGCAGCAGAGCGTCCCCACTCCCCTCGAGCGCCTCTTCCCCGGAGCGCAATGGATGCGCTGCTGAGTACCCATAGAGACGAGCTCAGCGGCTAGAGCGGCACAGGAAGCGGCACCCGCGTGCCGGTCTCCAGGCAACAGCCGTCAACACGGCGCGGCGGGAGCTCGGCGCCGTTCGGCTAGGCCTGCAGGCGGGGCCGGGCCCGGGGCCCCTGCCCTCAGCTCGGCTCGGCCGCTCCCGGAGCCGCAACGCAGATGAGCGCTGCGGGCGACTCTGCAGGTAACGGTGGGGGCGGGCCCAGGAACTCGTGTTCAGTGCGCTCCCCGCGGGGGCGGCGGTTCGGAGACTTTGAAGCTGTGCTCCTCCTTAGGGAGGCTCTGCGTGGGCAGCCGGTACCGCCATGCGGGAGTACGGGGCCGAGTGAGCCACGGAAAAGCCGTGGTGAGCTGAATGGGCCGCCTTGTGACGGCGGCGCCCGGGCAGGGACGAGTCTCGGTAAGCGCTCCTTGCGGGCATAGCTGCTTCCCTGGTAATGCGATTGGTCTCTACAGTGACAAGACAGGGCTCAGAAAGAACCCAGAGGAGTTAGAAAACCTTTGCCAATATTCAATCTAGCTTACAAGTGTAGGCTGTTGGGAGGAAATTTTACAGGCTGAAAGAGCTGGGGCTGATCAGCCTGGAAAAGAGAAGGCTCTGATGTGACCTGAGAGCTGCCTGTTAGTATGTAAACGGGAGGAAAGAACGGCAGACTCTTTAGCAGGGTCTGGTGACAGAACAAGGGGAGATGGCTTCAAACTAAAAGAGGGTGGATTTAGGCTGGATATAAATATGTATTATATAAATTTTACAGTGAGGGTGGTGAGGCACTAGAACAGGTTGCCCAGAGATTAAGTTGATGCCCCATTCCTGGAGATTTTCAAGATGGGGTTGGATCAGGCCCTGGCAACCTGATCTATCTATGCGTGTCCTTGTTCATTGCAAGGGAGTTGGAGTAAATGACCTTTGAAGGTCTCTTTCAACCCTAAGGATTCTATGATTCTATGAAATCTGTCCAGTTTTGGATGTAGTAGTCTGTAGTGATTTTGCTTCTAACCTCAGGCTCTTTCCCAGGTACTGAATGGCTGAGCTGCAGCTGGCTTTGTTTCCGTATGTGGATTCTGTGGTGGCAGCTGCTAAGCTCTCAGTGACAGACAGTTATGATTCTGAAGTCTCAGTACATCAGTCCCCTCTGGAACACCTAGAAAACAGTTGTCAGCATGAATTCACATCAGACAAAGAGGAAAGCCTGAAAAATCCCCGTGCCCGAAAGAGCCAAAGCTATTCATATCCTCTTTCTGCAGAAAGCAATAAGCACAGCTCCCAGCATGGAGGCTCCAGCTCATCTGGACTGCAAAACAAGCATCTTGCCAGCCAGGTTAAGACTCTGCCCTCTAAATCATTAGCCAAACGGAAAGAAGGAGTGGATCGTTCATGTCCTCTGAAACCAATTTTTCAGCACAACACTGGGAGCCTTCCTGCAGTCAATACAGGACAGCTCGGAAGTTCCCCATACATGGAGGAGGCTCTAAATAGTAGGACTAGCACAAAGAGCAAAGGAAGGCATCTGCCGGGGAAGCCTCAGCTAGCTGCAGTGCTCCCTCCTTGGACAGCAGAGCCTAAACAGTCAGATTCCTCTCTATACAGGAGAGATCTGGCTTATATCCTAAGGCTGGAGGCAGAGGGACGGTCCCTGGAAGAGGAAATCCGAAAGAAAGAGGCTCTTCTCAGAGAGAAGCTGAGGAGAACAAAGGAGGAGCTTAGGAGGATTCAACGAGAGAAGGAACTGATGGAGGCAGAGGAGAGAAGAGCCAGAGCAATGGAGAGGACTCGCAGGCGAAAGGCCATGTGGCACCCTGGAGAGGAAAGTATAAGATTTACCATCAGGACGGGTGATGGGGATTTTAGTGGGGTGCAGTCTGCAGAGGTCACTGTCCCGAAGACAGGCACTACTCTCCATCCCCAAGAACTGGCTATGGGGAAACTGAAGAAGGAACGGTTGGTGGCCAGCAACAACAAAATTCGAGACCGCATACCGGTGCAGAGTTTAGCCTCATGCTCAGAGCCGGACTTAAAACATGGCCCTTCTTCCTCTGTTCTCTCAGACTGTGGTGGCAGCATGCCTGCAGAGATGCTGTACATGCAGGCTGCCAGCCCCACAGAAAAGGGGGAGCTTGGACAGTGCAGCTTCTGTGGCCGCAAGTTTCTCTGCACCAGGCTCAAGAAACACATGAATATCTGCAGCAAGAGCCAAGGCTCTAAAAGGAAAACATTTGACTCCAGCAAGGCCAGAGCCAGGGGCACAGACCTGGAAGAGTTTCAGCAGCGGAAGAGCTCAGAGAGACCTCAGGTAACTTGCAGTCCCTTAGCCTTCCTCAGTTCACACATACTGTTCACTTTCCTCCCTCCCTGAGATCTAGTTTTGAGACACGAGCACCCTCATGAGAACACAGGGCTGAGGAACACAACCCAGCCACTGCCTCTGGAAGACGCTTGCCTTCCACATAAAATCTAATAGGTTGGGTTGGGAGGGAGGATGAGAGGGTGTTGTTTCTGACTGATTTGTCTTTGTAATGCATCATGGGGTACTCCTGGAGAGAACTTGCTCCTTGTATCAGAATGCTCATCAGGGCAGACTGGGTCTGCTGTGGTAAAGATCTGTGATGCTGGAGGGCTGTGGGGAACTGACTGAAAAAGCAGGTAATAAAATGGACTAGCAATCTGAGGGCAGTGGAAACATGCAGGTCTGTTCCTTCAGAGCAGCTGTAGCATCTCGCTCAAACTAGTGGTTGACAACCTTGAACATGGCATGGGAGTTGGAGCTCAAGTATCTTTAAGATCCCTTCTAACCTGAGCCATTCTATGATTTCCTCAGTGCTACTGCCTGCTTCATGAGCTCATTCTCAAGCTCTTTTCTAAGCACCGACATCTCCATCAGTAACTCCATCAATCCCTCGTTGGTGCTTGGTGGGATTCAGCTTCCCTGGGGGATTTTACATCAACGGAGACTGCTCAGGAAGAGGTGTCTAGAATTGGGCCATGAGAGCAAGGCTGAGAATGGAGGCTGACAGCAGTGCCAGTTGCTCTGACTGCATTTCCCTTCTGCAGAATAAGCCACCCAGAAGAAACAACTGGAGGCAGAACCATGAGGCTTTCATCCAGACCTTGCGCCATGCCCGGCAGGTGCAGCAAGTGCTGTCCAAGGGAGGGAAGGTACCTGACCTGCCTCCGCTGCCTCCCATTGAAAATCCAGACTACACTGCCTGCCCCTACTGCAGACGCCGCTTTGCACCCCAAGTAGCTGAGACACACATTCCCAAATGCAAAAACATCAAGAATAGACCCCCATTTCCCCCACAGAGGAAACGCTGATAAGGCAGCTTTCTTTGTTCTCCACACTGGCTGTGTTGAGCAAGATTTACAATAAGCAATCAGTTCAGGACATAGTGGCAGAATATAAGTTTGTACACTTAAATCTGTGTGCTGGAGTGTGATGCCCTTCTGAGGGCCACCTTCTCCCAGCAGGTGAGCTCAACAGCAAGACCCAGTCTACACTGTAAGGATGTCACTGTTCAGTCCGTTGAGCAGGAAAGAAAGGTTGTTGCTACAGGCTGACAGCATGAAGCAAAAGAGCAAACCAGCCATCAGAAAAATCCTTAAGAATCATTTTTTTCTTGTAGGCTGCGGAGACTTAACCTTTTTTCATTGAAAATAGCTTTCCTGATGTAGAGATAACTGCTCTCCTTTAGCTCATCACTGGCTGCAGACATTTATTTTTCTTCCATAAAAGAAAAAAGGAGTGCTGTGCAAGAGAGAAACAGCTGGGCCAAAGAGAGCATCTGCCTTTTGTATGCTTTGTTGCTCTGTAAATGCAGGTGTTCACTTCTGAATGTATTAACAGCAACAGTGGTTCTGGCTGCCATAGTCTTTCTATTTTAATTACCTACAAGAACTGGGAGGTGTGGAGTTCCCTTTTTTTTTTTTTTTTTTTTTTTGCTATAGAATGGTCTCTGCATTCTATAGTGCAATCTAGCATTTAGGGCTTTTGGGAAGCACCATACACAGGCTGCTGTGTTTACCCTCCTCTGTCTATGAGAGACAACAGGATCCAGAGCTACTTGTCGATGATTTCTTTCGCTTTTTCTCACTTGTTGAAGTGCTGATCAGTTGAATAATAAAAGTTGCAAAGGCAGGCTTATTTTGCACTTGTTCTGCATCAGCCCAAGAGTTTTACTCAGATGATTTTCTGGAACATTAATGACAATCCTGGGACCATTTCTTACCAGCAGAAGAGCATAACATACTACCACTTAGAAATTTGGCATCGTGTCGACATAAAAACTGATGATGTTATTTAATTAGGAGAATTGGAAGCTATATAATGAAATACTTCCTCAACACGTGAACCTCAGGCTCAGAAATTCATGGGGGTAGAAGAGCTTATGTGCAGGTCTGTATGCCAATTCACGTACATAGGACAGCAGAGGTACTCTGAACAGGCCAGGCCCTTCAGGCAGCAGAACAGCCATGTCCAAGCGATTACTTACTATGTACAATAACTGGAAAAGTCTTGGGAAAGAGGAGAAGAATAAACATTCAATTAAAGAATAATGCCACACAAGATGAAAAAATAGGCCACGAATAAGCTTAGACTGGAAATTAGCTTTCTAATCAGGAGAAGAGTGAGGTCATGGAAAAATCTTCCAACTAGGTTAGCAGAGGCAAGGAACCTACACTGTTTCAAGATGGACTTTGAGAAAATCACAGAAGGGACTGTACTGCAGGAGTCAGAAACAAATGCTCTGTATCACAGTTCATTTCCATCTTCAGGATGGAAGATAGGCTTGTGATAAAAAGTGCAAATAACACACCAGCTATAGTTCTGTACTTCAGTGCATCACTGTCAGGAGCAGAGACGGAATTTCCACCTCCCCCTGATTCCTAACGTACCTTCTAATTACTTTCCATCTAAAACATTCAAGAACAGCTAACAACAAATACAATAATAAAATAACCAAGCAAAATACTAAGGAACTTCACAACAGGCAGTGTAACAGGTAAATCAACAACTAGATTTAATATTAAAAAGATGGAGATTTTCTGCAGGCCAAGGTAATAGGGGCCTCTGAAACACAGGGCTTTAACCCTTCTTTAAGTCAGATGACTTACTTGTTTCCATTTTGGATGCTGCAATTGTAAGGCATCATGACAAAATTATGCCCCTTCTTGAGGGAGGTGCAAGGGAGTTGTTGGTTATTTTGGCCTTATGCTGGAGGGCTTAGTTTGTCACACATGATTAAAGGGTCTTTAGGGGGAATAGATGTCCTACAGACTTACAAAAAGGCATCTGCTCCAAGCTGGTAACAGTTGCTGCATAGTTGTCTATTTTTTCAGATTCTGATTTTCTGACTAGTCTAATATTAGACTATTTCTGTTTTGTAAAAAGTTGTTTTAAATGGTCACAGAGTGTTTTTTGTTCTCAAAGTAAGAACGACTACTTTGTATGAGAAAGTTGCAACAGGAAGCAAACAAGGAACAAAAAAAGTTCCAGCAGCTCCTTTTGCAAATCCTTCAGCAATGCAGCGCCAGCTCCTCACAGGAGCCTGAAGAAAAAAGAAGACAAAAAAACCCCCGAAAACCAACAGATAAAAAGCAGCCAGATTGAACTGGATTAGTAAAAACCTGAATCTGGAGAAACACTTCAGCCTGCAATGGGTGGACCAGATTCCTGAAAGAAGTTGGGAGTGCTTCTGACCTATAGACATGTGGGCAGGGATCCCAATTCTGTGGCACACCCTAGAGAAAAACATGAAGGTCCCAGAAAGGGTCAGTACTGCTCTGTCAGCCAGGTATGTATAAGAACGTGCAAACCCAGAGAAAAGAGAAAAAGAGACTCAAAACAAGGGAAAAGACTTCACTGTATGCAAACTGACTGGAAAATAAGATCAATGCTTCAACTTCAGAACTTATTAACATAGGGTATTAGAGGATAGCAAGGGGCGACAAGAAAAGGGGTAGGAAAGGAATAAACTGAAAGCTGTATTCCCACAGTCTTGAATTAATGAAAGATGTTACTGAATTAAAGAGTAGTTAAGAAATTCAGTACCACTTCCTGTCTTGCAGTATTGATTCAATTTTCCTTGCACTTTGTTTTTTTTAATTGTGTTTAGTGGGTCCTAAAAGTCAACAGACGGTCACTGGGATAGAATACACATAGAAAGGCTTGTGATACTGTAAAATAAATCCATCAACTGGGGACTTTCCTTAAGTAACAGGCAAGGAGCTAATGCTGGGACTGAAAATGTAGATTAAGCAAAAGTAGTTATTGAAATTAAATCACCAGACTTCATCATTGTGTTTGTTTCAGAGCTAGCCTTGAGCGCTTCACCCTGTTTTGCTGAGGTAGTTTTTCAGGTAAAGTAAGACAGCAGAGTTTTACCCTACTTTTTTTCTGTCACAGTTAAGGTTACCCAAGCTATGTTACTCCATGTGGCTCAGCTTCCTCTACTGTGGTACAGTCCCATTCTCAGAGACGTCCTGCATTTTCACTTTCTGATTCTCCACTGAACATTAAGTTTCTGACCCTGTCTGCCTCTCCAGGCATTTCACAATTTACAAAAATCCCCAGTAAAAGCTTAGAGGTGGCAGGCATTGTGCAGTGTGCTGAGCTGGTATTGGTCAGGTTTTCACCTCCATAGACCTCAGTGCTCAGTAAGAGCTGTTCAAGAGAAACAGGTGCTTCTTCCCTGTGAACCTTTCTCTTCCTGTTACTCATTTCCCACTTGGCATTAAAACTGTTGAAAAACCACACACACAAAGGGCCCCTGACGTCACTAAGAGATACAGCAATAAAGGGGCCTTTTTATTTTCTTTTTTCCTAAGAATCAGAGAACGTGACATTTTTTCCCATAGCAAAGGAACCTGTAAGTCCTCTGGTCATCCTTCCAGAACATGTAAGAAAAAAAACATCAAACAACAGAATGCCTCTGATAATATATGCATGTTTCCCCTTACTCTTCTGCAAAAAGAAATCTGAACACGAGCAAATGAGTTTAAACATTTATTTAAACAGAAACTCCAAACCACTCCACCCTTTAACCTTTCAAAAAAAGACGACAAACTAGTTTTCAGCCAGAGTGTCAGAGCAGGCAAAAGTTGTGTTCCACTATAACAACTCAGTAGCAATACTAGCAGGAGACTGACACGTATGGAGCTAGCACTGCAAGAAGGGGAGAAGTCAAAAGGATTTGAAACTGCTCAGAGGCACTTCTGCCCACTTGTCCTTCCAATTTCAGCCCATGACTAAGGTGCTGGCTTTAAACTGCTTTTTTGGTTGCATAGCTGGCTGGTGTGAAATCTGTGGTCTGCAACAGGCACAACCTGGATAGCGTGAATCCTCTAAGGCACATTTGAGATTGTGGAGCACAGGGCACCCTATGTCAGGACCCTAATTCTCCACTAGATCCAAGGGGAATCCAGTCTGTGCACCCAGCTTCCCAACTGCAGAGCATTGAGAAATGAGGATAGCAGTGCACTGCAGGAGAGCGACTCCCATCAGCTTGGTGCTTGCTTGTTGGACGTGGCTCAGGCTCAACTCTTTGCTCCTCAAAGGCACTGCTGCAACATGACCAACTTGATCATTTCCAAATGCAACAACAACCCTCAAGCCGGGCCCCTAACCTGAGAACTGGCTCCAACACACGAGGGGAAAGGAGGGCAGAGTCACCAGGGCAACCAAGCAATGTGGCCACACAGAGCACCTGATGCCATCTCCCAGGAGGGCTGTCCTCCTGCCCTTTTTCATTAGGGGTGGACAGGCACGTGGGTACTATCCTTGCCCCGGACTCTGCACTGTAGACACTGCACTTGATACAAGCAAGGGGCACCAATAAGTATTTAAGAAGCATAAATTACAAGGAGAACGGTTTGGCATCCACCTCTAGACCCAAAGGGGGAATATGCTGGCTCCCAAAGGACAGTCTCTCAAAGAAAGACATCCAGAAGAGGTGATAGGATAACCAGCTCCATTTGACCTAAGACAATTCTAGTGACGTGTCTTTGATGGGGACTGCTTAATGAAATCATAACTCCACTCTCACAGCAAAGGTGAGAGGGACTCAGGATTCCTCGGAGGCTTCACATAAAGTGAAGGGAGGCTAGCTTCTCCCAGTCATCCTACCACTCCCAAAAGCTTAGTTCAGAATCAGTTTGCTAAAAAATTTGTGGGAAATAAAATTTACTTCATTCTTTAATGGGAAATGAGGAAACCCTGAGCAGACCATGCCTCTTCCCATCTCCAATTTTCTTTGGGAAAACCTCTTGCTTCTAGAAAGAAGGTGAATTCCAGACAGAGTCTTGATCGTTCGTGGTCATAGGGGAAGGCTGCATCCTGTGACCACAGCATTAATGACCTATTCTGGGTAGGAAAACGCATTCCAGATTCATCACAACATTGAGTGGAAAAATACCGATTCTTCCCACACCCACACCAGGGGCTAAGCAGAACAGAAGCCAAGCAAGGAGCAGCTACAGGCTTATGCCAAGAAACCAGAAGCTCTGGTACCCAAACCAAATTGACAGCTGGAGCAAGAAATGCATGACTTAGTCTGAGGACCAGACGCTCAGCATCTGGTTGGGAAGCAGGTGGTCTGAAACCAAGTACCAGAGATCCCATCTCAATCAGTCCCTGCTACAGCTGTCAGAAACTGCACCCGATTCACTTATCTCTGTGCATTGCCTGGAAGTTGAAGAGCTCTAGGCACCCAGAATAAGGCCTTTAAACTCTCTGTACAGGCCACTGGACACAGTCATACGGCCAGAAGCTGCACCTTGGGGCCAGGGACATGCTGTCTGCCATTATCTCCCTTACAGGAAAATCTCCACTGCCTCCAGAATGAGATGTTCTCTGCTCCCTCAGCCCCCGAGCAGAGAGGAGAAGCCTCACTGGCTGGGCCTTATTGTGTGGCAGGGACAGGATCCTAGCCCTTCACCCCTCTAAAGTGAAGGTGGTGAGTGTTAGGGTTCAGCCAGCTTCAGTACAAAACACGTCTCTTTCTCTCAGAGATGCAGCGATGAATACTGGGGTGCCAAAGGCAGCTCCCAGGAAGCAGTGGGACAATGAAAGGGCCTGCTGCCGGAGCTGTCACCGTAACGGGGCCATACTGCTTCATGTGCAGAACTGACAGATAAGGTACAAAAAGGAGCTGCTGCTGCTTCAATCACTGAGCTGGCCTAGAGCTCAGAGGCCCTTCCCCTCTCAGAATCACTCCTGGTTCATATCAAACGTACATGGATGCTGCTCTGGAGCCTCCGGCCTCGCTCCTTGTCTGAGTGACCTGAAGCCAGGAAAGCCGCTCTCTGCATTCAGTTAGTGTGCTGTGAAGTTAGATGGATCCCAGTGGGCTCAGGAGACTAGAGGCTGGAGCGGCACGAGTCCGTTCCCAGGAGACACCAAGAATCTGAATCCAAGTCAGGTTTTGGATCCACTTCCATCTCCTCTTTGGCTGTCTGGGTTCCTTTGGAATGAACCTCCACCTGCCAAAACACACAGCAACCCTCTTAACAGCTCTGGGACTAGCTGCAAAGAAGCTAGGAGCTGCACAAGGCATGATTCCTATTCTCCACATCCAGTTGGGACTCTCCACAATATCTGACTGCTGATTTCTTCTAACCAAGAGAAGTAAAGGGGAATCCCAGGTCCCTCAAGAACTGGGTTGTCCCCAATGGAAACTGGCTTCTTGGCTTCAGTCTCATTGTTACTAACAAAGCCTGAATCAGCAGCTCAACCAAGAATCAGGCAACACACTTCTACTCATATGGACGGGTCTGTTAAAAGCTGCATCCTTCTCTGCAGTCTACACAGAACTAGGATCAGGGGACTAAGTCCTGAGCATGGATGTGCACTCAGGTGATGGTCCTCACCTGCTGCATTCCCTCTGTTCCACTGCAGAACCTCTGGAGCTGGGCACTCAGACGAAGGGTTTCCTGCTGCAGCTTCTTCTGGTCATCCAGACACTGTAAGACCAGGCTTCGGAGGTGCTCCACCTCTGCTTGAAGAGCACTGCACATGCAGCCCACAACAGGAGGCACAGCCTTACCTTCACTGCATGGCAAGTCTGGACTCGGGCAAGGAGGCTGCAGAGACAAGAAGAGAAGTCAGACTGCGTTTGAATGGAAGGGAAGGAACCTTTAGGCCAGTTCTGTATGCCACAAGAAGAAAGCCTGCACAGGAAGTGTCACCTCATATGAGTTGCTGACTTCCCAAACTTGTAGAAGCCCGGTCACCAAGCTACTGTTATGTCTTCTGTACAAAAGCCACTAACATCCTCTTTTGGAAAGGCTGATCCTCACCAAAATTAACCTGGTCTAACCCCTTTCCCTTAGCCTGGAATTTGCACCTCCTCTCTGGGCAGAAAACTCCTGGAATTAGTCTAACAGCAATTTCCTACGTCAGTCTCACTTCCACACAGCAATTTCTGCTTTCTAAGTTTTATTTTCTGCTAGACTCCTGGGCTCCAGGTTTCTCTCTCTTTTTTTTTTTCCCCTCTCTATTAAATTAACCACATCTTTCCATACAACTGATCTCATTATTTTCCATTTGGCTAAGTCCCAGCTTCACATTTTAGATTCCTGTAAGTTGCTCTCTTTGCAGCATTATCTCTTCTTAACAACCTTCTTTTCCTCATCCAGATGAATTGGGGCAGTCCAACACCCTCTTCCCAGCTCTCCCCATAATTCAAATATCGCCAGTTATGCTCCCAAGAGCTTCTGGCCAAGCATTCACTATGAAAGACCTGAATAACATTACCCAGGGCTCTGTTTTGGGCTTGTTGAATCCAGTAGGTTCTTCGGGAGCCACTTTGAGTCCTTGAAGTTCCTGGTAAGGGAGAGTCTCCTTCTCAGGCTCTGAGGATGCCATGCTCATAGGAAAAGGGCTGTCAGGCATGGGAATGAATTCAGCATTCTCCAGCTCCTAGATACACCAAAGCAGGACTGTTAGGTGTCTGCCATCCCAAAGCTGATCTGATCTCCTCAATCAGTGCATCAGCACCCTCTTGTGGTAAGAAAGGCAGCTAGACCTA